ACTGATCTGCCTTGCCGGGAAGAGCGCAGTGATGGTGCCAACTTGGGCCAGTGAAGCAACGTCCTCCACAACTAGACTGAAGAGCAAAAAGACAGCAACTTGTCTGTTCCCCTTCCCCCAATTCCCCAGCGCTGTTCCCATCCCCACAATTCCCCAATAAAAATCTTTAAAAAAAAAGAAAAGTTACACAGCTAATACAAGACAAAACTAGAACTCTGACCTGTCATGTCCAAGTCCTTTCAGCTTGTTTTGCTCTGATGAGGAACCCAAGTGTAGGACAGAAGGAAGAACTGGAACGCGCCCCCCCCCAGGTCCTCCTCAGGGATCCCAAAACCCTGCTGGTGCTTTCATACCTCCAGTCAGTTCCATCGTTAGCTTTTCATTTTCAATCATTTTCTTCTTTTCTTCCAACTCAGCAATCAGGTTCTCCTTCAGCTCAACCTTCTTGTCTTCAAATTCTTTCACTGCTGCCTTCTTTTCTTTAATGTAATTTCTTTCCACTTGTTCAGTCTGAGCAAAAGAGAAACACAGGCTAAGGGTACATGGCCCTGGAAGCCAGGGCTCCAACATAAAGTCTGGCTCGGCACTCAAGAGCAAAGAAAACACCTTTACTAGAAATATGAGAAATAGCTGCACTCACACTTGAAGTTAACAGTGTGTCTGGGAGCCAGTTTTCCAATGAATGCATCAAATCAAACCACACAACTCTTGCTTATTTTTATGAGTACACCTCACTGGCTACTCAGGTATTTCCTCTCTTCCATATCTTATACTTTACGGCTTGTATGTTAAAATAGAACATAAGTTTTTCAGAGACAGTAAATAAACTCTTTCTTACAGACACAATTTGGCAGGAAAATAGTCCATTCCAGATAAAATAACTATATTCAAAATTAACTACAAGACACTGAGTCACAATGGTAGGAGTTACTGTATTTTTTTATGTTTACAGTAAAATAAAGAGTAGAAGGCCATTAAGTATCTGAACCCCCAAGTACTCAAACACTGAAATTATGCTAAATAACAATTGCACAAGCACCTATTTTCTAAATCTCACCACGGCATGAAGGGAAGAGGCAGGGGGCTTATGGTGGGCTCTGTCTGTGGGCTGTGGGATCCTTCAGGCTGGGACTACATGGCTGCACTGACTTCATCACTAAAATGGTTTCCAATAACGTGGCTCTCATAGACCATGATGCTCTCACATTGCTGTGTGGCTCTGAGAAACTCACTCCCCCTGACCCCCCCCACACACGTGCTAGGCACCCCAGGAGCAGTAGTACATCATTCAAGATCCAGGCCCTCATCTCTGCACCAAAGCACTGTGCCTCCCACAGAGCCAGCACTCAGATGTGTGCCGAATGAAAGGGAAAAATTTTAATCCATCTTTCCTACTGACCCAGAAAGTTTCAGCTGTAAGAGTCAATTGTTGAGCCAATTCAGAAATTGGGCTGTTCCAGGACCAATATAACAAATTATCAGGCCATTAAAATTCAGACCTACTCCCAAATGGCAATACTGTGAGATCAAAGCCAACAAGAAAGCAGTGCGGGGTGAGTGTCCCCTAGTCCCGTGATAAGCAGAGTCTGCCTGACAAACAAATGAATAGATGGAATTTCTGAACTGAGACCAAAGTCCTTTAGTCAAACAGAACTGTGATGGAAGGCTTCCAGCTGGGGGCTTCCCAAGTAACTATTTGGTGATAGGAGAAAAGGCCTCCGATTGGGAAAGCAAGATTCCAGTTTCAGAAAGAGCCTGCAAACCCAAAAGATCCATGGTACTTACTTCCAGCTGGAGGAAGAGTTCTGAAAGAGATAAAACGTGCAATTAGATTCGCTAGACTGTGTCACCTTTTTCAACAGTATGGTAGGATTCATTTAGAAGCAGTAATTGCTTTCTGAAAGCACGGTTACCCAGAGTAAATGTTTTCATCAGGGAAGTGCTGATATACACGAAGGGGAAGGATACAAGAAGCACTCGTGTCTAGTTAAAAGCTGGCCCTGAACATAATCGGCTCTGGCAATTCTACCCAAGGGCAAAAACAAGCAGCAGGAACCAAACTACCTTGACAAAATAAAAGTTATCCATTCTTTCACTCGGTACATACCCTCCAACTGTCCTGCAGGGCAGGATGGGTCAGGAAGTAACAATGCACGAACTCCAGAAGCAGAGTCAACACTGATGTCTTTAAAGCATTGTGTGAAGGGCTCTGCATGGTGTGGAAGGACACGCCCCCCAGGAATTTAGAGGGCAGAGGTTCCGAGCCCTCCTGGGCTTTGCTGTCAGGCCTACAAGCCTCTGCTCATGTGTCTCCACCAGCAATGCCCTCTGGTCTCTGAATGCACTTCCAAGTTTCAGAGCTAATGCAGCCTCCTCTGCAAAGCCTTTCTTGTGGACCCTTCACTCACCAAGCCCATCTCAGAAACCTAACAGTATCCACCCCACAGTATTCAGCAGCTTATTGAGCACCCACTGTGTGCCAGGAAATGATTAGCAACTGTTTGCCCATGAGCTTTCCCCACCACTAGATTATAGGCCTCTTTGCAAACCTAGGACTTGGAACAAAATAGGTGTGAGGTTTCTAATCTTTCCTGGTAACAGTGGGGCTGCTGCATATGATCTGCAAAGATTGCTGGCAGACCAACAACCCCAGGGGGTGCTGTTCACATTTCACCATGGTCTCCTTTGCAAACCTAATAAAAACTATGGATCCACTCTCCCATAAAGAAAGCACATATGCACATTCACACATACTTCATAAGATTCTGAGTTTCAGGGACTCGAGATTAAGACTCCAAACATCAAATAACAGTTGTCGCATGAGAAAGTTAATAACAACATGAGAAAATAAATAACAGCATGAGAAAATTAATTGATGAAAGGGACAAGCTACTCATTATTTTCTGTAGCACTGGGAATCTCTGGGCACTTGAGCCCAGGCACACAAAGCCCGGCATGCTTACTCTTATGATTGCTTCAGATTTGCACCTTGCGCGAGGGCAGGACAACTGAAGTTTGTACCATTCTGAGAAATCACACCTGCACCAAGTCAAACTGGCAATTAGCACTTAGAGTTGGTGGTAGTTGTTTACACAAAAGACACAACTAAAGCAAGTGGATTATCTCTGCATGGAACTTCCTTTAGTAAAACTCAAGACAGTGACTGATTTAGGAACTCTTCTGCATTGTTATATGGGGGTGGGGGGGTGGGGGAGTTATGAAAGATCATGACAGGACAGGAGAGTGGAATTAAAAAAAAACAATGCTTGGGGCCGACCGTGTGGCGCGTTGGTTAAGAGCTGGATTGGGACGCCAGCTCTGAGCAGCAGGGCCCCAGTTTGGATCCCACATGAGGGACAGTGACACTGCCCTCTACAGCTAAGATGGTGAACAACAGCTCAACCTAGAGCTGGGCTGCCGTGAGTCACTGGCGACGGCGTAGGCTGCAGCACCTGCTGCAGTGAGTTGCCATAAGCTACCGTGTGTGGCCGGCAGCCAGCGTGAGCGGCCGGTAGCCGGCGTCAGCTGCCAAGAGTCATGGTGAGCAGCTGTCCAGTGGCCGGCGACCCATCTGCCTCACCCAGGAAGAGCGCAATGATAATACCAACATGGGCCAGTGAAGCGATGTCCTCCACAACTAGACTGAAGAACAAAAGGACAGCAATTTGTCTGTTCCACTTCCCCCATACCTCAGGACTGTTCCCCTCCCCCAATAAAATCTTTAAAAAAAAAGACAAAGAAAAACAATGCTCACCCTGCAGTTCTAGCTTAAGAAAAATGGCTCGCATCAATTTTCTTTCCTTACTTACATCTTAAACCAATTCTGTGAGGTAGGTTCCCTTACAGATGTGGAAACTAAGGCTGTAAGAGCAAATTCCTGCTTAAAGGCATAAAACCTAAAGTTATAGAAGACCTAGACCTAGTGACCTTCCACCTCCTTTCCCTGCTAAAAGAGAACTCCAAGAAGAGGGATGAGGATTTTAAAGATGTCCTAAGGAGATGCCTTAGGAACTCAGAGTGAAGTGGGGGGTGACCACAGGGGCAGGTGGGGGACGTGGGTGGGCAGAAGGCTAATGCCTGCATTTCCATTTTCCCAGCACCCCTCACATCCTTCGCTACAACAAAGGAAGCGTTGCATCGACAGAAAGTTGGAAAGTCAATGGATCAGAAAGCCAGAGGACAGCAGCCTGAGGTGGGGCACCCAGACTGCATTTGAAAACCCAGCATTACTTCTACCACCGCAGGAACAAACACCATGCTGACTGGCACTCAACGTGCTGGCTGATGAGCTTCAAAATGTAACACTTACAAAAGGCTTCCTGTAAGCACAGGAATCTGTGTTCACACACTTTAAACAGTCATCACAACTTTTCGCATGATTCTTTACTTAACTCCTAAGATTCCTTAATTTACACATTTGGGTATCTTCTGTCAATGAAACACTGAGTTTCCTTAAATCGAGGACAATGTGTTACACTACTGTGTATTGCTCAGCTTAGATGACGCAGATGCTCAACAAATTTTTGTTGAATGAATACGTTTACCATGTACAACACACCAAAGAACATACCCTTTTTCTCTAAATGCTTATAAGACAATACTTGAAAAAAAAAACAGGAGGACACCCCTTCCTCCCAGAGCACACAGTACCAGAAGCAGCAAACTCAAAACAGGAGCAAAACCACCTGCAATCCTTTTTCATGTCAGTTCCTCTTACCGTCCATTAAGCCAGCCTGGCAGAATATGCAAGACGACCCTTGGGGACAAGGGAGGACAACCCAACTGCAAGGAGCCACCACCAACCTCGACTACTGGCTGTTCATTGGCCATTGGAAAAAAAGATGAGCCAGTTTTACATAACTTCACCTTTGAGGCCTTTCTTCCCCCTAAAACTCTCCCCATAATGGGATATTTGAGATACTCGTACATTTTGGAGAATAGCTCTTATGACCATATAATATCGATGATCAGCAAAAGGAAAAAAGTCTGAAGATGATTTATTTCCACTTAAGACAGAGCCTTACCTGCATTTCGTATTCTCTCTTTGTACTGCTGATCTAGTTTTTTCATCCTCTTCTGATATTCCTGTAATGTACCTGATTTTGAGATTTACAAAATAAAAAGTTATTTTGAAGATCTGCTTTCCATTTTTGTTCCTAAAATTATTTTCTAGCACCAACAGTGACTGTCTTAGAACATCAGGATGAAACATGAACCAAGGAAAGGCACCAACAGAGTTGATTGGAGTATGGTTCTCAGCCAAGTCACACAGCAGAAATCACCCCAACCTAGTGGACTGAGACTCTCTAGGACAGCGGTTCTCAACCTTCCTAATGCCGCGACCCCTTAATACAGTTCCTCATGTTGTGGTGACCCCCAACCATAAAATTATTTTCGTTGCTACTCTATAACTGTCATTTTGCTACTGTTATGAATCGTAATGTAAATATCTTTTTGTTTTCCGATGGTCTTAGGTGACCCCTGTGAAAGGATCATTCGACCCCCAAAGGGGTCGTGACCCACAGGTTGAGAACCGCTGCTCTAGGAAGTGAGGGCGAGTTAAAGGTGCAGGCACCCTTAAGTGACTCTGATTACTTGCTGCTACAGGTTGAGGCAACGGGCTTCCCTTTCCTGGAGAAACCTCCTTCTCCTTCAGGAAGGTCTCGATCAGGGGTCAGCAAACTGCGGCTCGCGAGCCACACGCGGCTCTTTGGGTACGTTCCGTCTCAAAAGCTTGCCGACCCCTGGAAGAGCCAATCCTATCCCTCACAACAATTTAAAATTATTCGAGAAACATAAATATATTTTTACATAATCACCATTATGTGAATAATATCCTTTAAAAATTTTATAAATGAAACGATGGTAGTTTTATTTTCATTTTCAATTTTACTTCAGAGCCTGCGGCTCACAAGCCACAGTTTGCTGACCCCCAGTGGCTCTTCCATCTCAAAAGTTTGCCAACCCCTGGTCTAGATCAATGCTAGAACTTTCTCTGCACTGCTGGAAATGTTCTATGTTGCACTGTCCAATGTGGCAGCCACTAGTTACATGTGGTTCCTGAGCACCTGAAATGTGGCTGGTGCAAATGAAAAACTGAGTTATTAATTTTATTTAAATAGTGACAATACTGGATAGCTCAGGTTCTTACCGAATCTCTACTCATTTCATTGCTCTTCCCCAAAACTGCTAATTCTGAGGGTCCTAACTAGTATGGAAAGTGTTTCCTGATCATGCTGTAGCAGGATAAATTAATGGCATCTTTTTCAAAATCCCTCATTCAATCATGCTTTACAGACTTTCTAGAGTGGAATGTATTTCTCTGGCAATACTTCCATTATCATGGAAAGAAAAAATAAAAACAAAAAGATGTGTGATTGCAACTCCTGGGAACATTTTTTCACTATTAAGCAGAAATCAATACAGGATGGGCTAGTCCAAGCACTAAAAGTTCCTGGTGGAAAAGCAGTTTCACTGATGAGGGACTCCACAAAAATGAAGCCAAAGACCTAACAGCAGCAGCTAACTGTCCCTGAGTTCTCAGTGTGCCCAACAGTGCTAGTCACTCCTTGTGTATAATCTCATCCACTTTCCTTTTCTTCATTTCACAGATCAAAAAACATATTAAGCCAAGAGAATGTGATGTGCACAAGGTCAAACTTCTAGAAAGCAGTGAAGTTGGGATGCAAACCCATGATGGGGATGGGCCTGGAGTCTGTGCTCGTAACCCCCATGCTGAACTGTGATTAGCACAAAACAGCATCTGACAAGATACAATCCACTTTTAATTTACCAAGCTAAAAAGAGAAAACACAGTAAGGATAATCCACAGGTCGTTAGCATTTAGTTTAGAGGGAATAGTACAATTTTATTTATTTTTTTGGTAACATCTCTCCTAAAAATGTCTAGCTTTAGGCAGAGTGGTTTTCAGTTCATGCTCTATAGAAGGTCCTGCGATTTCAAAACAGTTTGAAAATCGCCACTTTACTGATAGCAGAAGATAGCAAAATGTATTCTAGGACAGCTAGAATCAGCCCCACCAAATTTTAATGACTCTCACAGAAGTGAAATACACAGATTTCAAAGGTTTGTAATATTAAGAAGTATATTTAGAAATGAAGGATTAAATCATACACCAACCTTCCTGCAGCTGTTGCAACTGTCTCTTGAGAGAAGCCAGTTTATCCTGATACATCCTATAAACAAAGTAAAGACACACTCAAAGACTTTATTCAATACTTCATTCCTTCGTACAATCTACGTACAGAAATTACCCGGGTTGTTATGGGAATGGCAGCCACGTTCTTTAGGAGAGAAAACTCAAGTCAGCGAGCTCATTTAAAATGTAGTAGTGGCTAAAAGGATAAAAAATGGACAGGAATTCTGTGTTCTAGAACCACATCACAATTTTATAGATTCTCCTGGGTTATCCTACCTTTAGAGAATCAGTCTAAAATCTACAAACATGAGGACATACAGATTTTAATAAATAAGTGACAATGATAAACACTTAGGCAAGAACATACAAAGAAAAATTGAAAGTGTGATGCTATTTTCTTCTGAATTTAGAAGCATAAGTAACACACACACGAATGCAGGAAAGGCATTAAACACAGCTCTTATATCAACTTTACGATTAGATTATAAATTCCAAAGGAGTAAGATTATGCCTTCAGCACATTTTTTCTATGTAGAGAGCATAGCTGTGTAAGCACTAATAAACCTTCATGTCATTTTTAAAACACTACTCTTTTAGAATCAGAGAAATAATAGTAATTCAGTAACAAATGTTAAAATACCTGATTTATTTGCAGCCACAGCTGGATAAGAATACACAGCAAAAACAAAGCAAAAGAACCTGGCATGTTATTTTTTTTCTCCCTCACACCCAATGGATTATAGCCCAATTATACACTCTGGCAAGTCTGTGTGACTGTAGATTCCATGGTAAATCACATTTCAGCAATATTTTTGCTTCTACCGAAAAACACCCCCAGTTTCACAGGGACAAAAACAAGATTTGCAACATGAAATAAAACCATTGCCTAACAGATAACAGGCACAATAGCCTTTTGATTGGTCAAATAACGGCTACAAATACAACCCAACTATCTATAGGTTGAGAAAGAAGTGGCAGAAGCTGAGAATTACTCAGGTCTGGTTCTTTTAGGGAAAATTCTGATGTATTCTCAATGCTCACCTTGAATCACAAGTCATTCAATTTTAATTAAAATTATTTTCTACACCATCAAGTATTAAGGGGCATATTCAATTAAAAGAGTGCCCCTAAAGAATGCTTAAATATATCAAGTATAAGAAGAACGGGTGTTTAAACTGCACACAAGAAGTCAGTATTTGGAACCCAGTGTATTAAATTTTCTACCACATTGAGAGTACCAGACGAGGCCTTTAAATTCTGAGTCTGTTTTAAAAGGGAATATTAACAGATTGAAGAAGTAAATAACAAAAAAATTCAGATTCGGGAAAAAGCCAGGTATGTGAAAATACATTTCAAATGGGTCACGGTAAATCAGTAAAAAGCTTTAAAAGAAAGAAAATCTGTTTTATAAAAGCAAGCACAGTTTCAAGGATGAAGCTATGAGAAAAATTACATGAATTATTAAAGTAATTCTTTATTCAGCACTGGTCAGATTTAGCTGAATTACCCCTTTGAGTTCCAAAGCTTGAAAACAATGACAGAATCCAAAGGATGGTCTCAAAACATTTGTAAGTAAGACCTATAAGGAAAGCAATGTTGACTGCCTAGTTTATAGAATTTTCAGTCAAATCAAGATCCTCAAAATACATTCAACAAATACTTATCGGATATATTTAATTGTCTTGCATCTGTGTTTACAATAAAAGTGAGTGGTTTTAGTTTCTCCGGGCATATTTGGTTGCAATGAGACGGCTTGGGTGAAGATGTGTGATAAGTGGAAAGGGCCCTGGAACAGAAGTCCTGTTCTCCATCCTGGTCTCCTTGAGCTTTCTAGGAATCTAGCACACCATCCAGCATGTGGTCAGGGCTCGGTGGGGTCGCACCCATCTGAGAACCAAGTAGCTGTGAAACACCATTTACCCTCTCTGGCCAATGGTTTTCACATCTAAAAAATACAAAGTGTGATAAAAAAATATGGTGAATGCTGCTGCTGAGTGCCATCCACTGGAAAGGCAGGGATCTTTGATACGGGAAGCAGCTTGACCCTTAGTAACAGTGTGTGGCCAGTTTCAACTTGTTCGGTGCCATCAGTCAGGTATGAGCTACAGTTGAGAAAGGTGTGTTTTAAAGCGTGCCGTAAATCACCCTCCATCATGACAAAGCTCCATGTCACACATCGCTCTGGTATACGGCAGTTTCTGTCAAACAAAAACATTATGGTGTGACCTCATCCACCTTATTCACCGGATCTGGCACCGTGTAACTTCTAGCTCTTCCCCTAAGTCAAAATGATTCAGGACATCGAGGCAGCCACAACAGCGCAACTAAAGACACTCACAAAAGAAGACTTCCAGAACTGCTTCAAAAAGTGGCGAGAACAATGGGGAAAGTGTGTTTGAAGCAAGGGAGCATATTTCTGAGGGGAATTATTGGCAATGTGTCTTTCACTGTAATAATTTTTTTAAATTAAAACATTCACTGTATTTTTTTTTAAAGAAATTTTATTGGGGAACAGTGTTTTTCCAGGACCCATCAGCTCCAAGTCAAGCAGTTGTTTCAATCTAGTTGTGGAAGGTGCAGCTCCCTGACTCACGCAGATGGAACCGGCAACCTTGGTGTTATGAGCCTGCACTCTAACCACCTGAGCTAACCAGCCGCCCCTTCATGTATTTTTTTTTATCACACCTCGTAGATAAAATGGGAAACGGCTCTCTCGTTATATGGCCTGATTCCCCTGACATCATTTCAAGGTTCTTTCTGGTCTACTCTCAAAAGATTCTCGTAACAGGAGGACTGATTAAATGTGACAAATTTAAAGGGGGGAAATTACACACATATACATAATCTTTAGAAGCACTATGGTCAAAGCCATATACACAAGGTCACTATAAAGATTTTCTCATCCATTTTGTTTTCCAACAAAGAAATCTAAAACTCATACTCACTGTTCCTTCATTTCTACATAGTCTTCTTCATCATGCTTTGCCAGGTCAGTTTCACTAGCATCCTCAGTGTCTAAGTAAAATCAGGGAAGAAGGGTTTGTTAAAATCATAATTCATAGAGTTGGTATCACCTGACAGTGACACTTAATAATCTTCTGTAAAATGAATTTCTACTCAATGCACGCCTGTGGGGAGACGTCAATGAGAAGTGTTACATACAGTTACTTCAGGAAAGAAAATGCCATTTCCAACTTATACACAGCCAGCTTTATGCAAAGAGCTTGCCCTTATCTGAAGTGCAGGCGGAGAACAGGGTGCATCAGACACAAGCAGTCACGGTCAAGGCTGTTACTTCTGCAGAACAGGCAGTTCAGAAAACGGAGATGTAAGAGGAGAACTACAGGCAGGCAAGCCTTGAACTCTACTCCAAGTAACCCAATAGGTACATTCTCTTCTGGTATATGCCCAGCTTGAACCCTTAAGAGATTTTAGGTCACATAGAAACAAAGGAAAATCTAAATTAACAGAGCTCTTAAGAACTGAGATATTTTCAAAGTGACAACTAAAAGGAGACAAGATGATCAAACGGAAACTGTTTCAGAACATATGAAACATTGTTCTTAGAATAAGCAAATTGCTCGAGCGTCTACATAATTTCAACAGCCCTACTTAAGAGGGGGGAAAAAAATCAATTTTGGTTTCATTGCTCCCCCTTGTGGGCATTAGGAACAGTACGCGTCACAAGTGTCTCATTCAAAATCTCTGGGTAAGCCTTGTCTTCAAATGTACTTTAACCAAATGCAATTAGTTCCTTCAACTTTATATCTGCATATGCAGATACCTTTCTAAAGGCTGTTAAAGGTCCAATTCTCCACAAACCCATCCCCCCTCCTTCAGTCAAGACACCTTCACTGAGTTCCTGTCACGTGCCGGCCACCCTACTTGGCACTCAGAACCGAGATGAATAAAACATACTCCACATTACAGACAGCTGGTCTGGCCTTTTGCTCCACAGCCCTATTTTGTGCCAGAACAGTCCACCCATATATTGGTCTTCAACTCCTCTTTCTTCTCCCTGGTCCTTTATGTTTCTTCCCCTTTCTCCTCCTCCAGCCAGCTCCTTCCTCAATCCCTCCAAAAGGAGTTGCTCACACTTTGCCAAACTGCAAAAAGCCCAGTTTGAAAAGCAAGGACCTGAGAGGCAGTAAGGACGATGCAAAGAGCATGACACTTCAAACAACATCTGGGCACCATTACGCACATCCCTACCTTCTTCCCCTGTGCCTATTTCGCCAGTGTTTGTGAAAACATCTACTGAGGTTACGTACTGAGTACCGGGCTTTCAAGTACCAGTACAATACTTGGCGTGCACACCTCATTGAGCCCTCACACCTAGGCTAGGGAGCCCCATTACAGTTGGGAAAACAGGCTCCTAAGCTCACGTGAGTTGTCTTAAAGTCAAAAGCTGGGTTAAATGAGCCCAATGTAGACCTAATTCTGATTCCACGTCCCATTCTTTTAACCAACCTGCACTTGCACTGCCCAAAGTAGGGCTGACTGACTAAAGCATTTCCCAGGGGTAGACGGCGGGGGGAGGGGGGCTGGGAGCGGGGAGCAACTTGGGGAACCAAGCAGCCAAAGTTCCTCTCCGGAACTAAAACGGCAGGGCGACTCAATGGAAGGCTTTCTCATTCCAACCAGTGAAGCCCGGAGGTACAAGCAGAGATGGCTGGGAGAAGAGGGGCAGCTGGGACAACAGCTCCCGAAGTCCCCTCTTCCCATAACTGCAGGGTAAACATACCCGGAGCTTCCCCTTCCCTTGCGCAGGTGGGGGTAACTTCCCGGAGCTCCGCTCCAGCCAGCTGTCCCTCCACGCTACCCCAAGTCCCGAGGTCGCCCCGCCCCTCTCCCATGCAAAGCCTCATCCCCTCCCGCCGCGGTCCCAACCCCACTCCGGGATGCCCAGCGAGCTACGGGACGCGCCTTCGTCAGACTCGCGGCCCCGGCAGCTGCGCTCGTCGTCCTCGGCGCTCTCCAGCTCTTCATCCTCTTCGGGGTAATACTCTGGAGCCGGCGGCGCTCCAGCCGGGGCTGGAGCCGGAGCCAACAGCCCCGCGGCACTCATGTCGCTTCTGACAGCAGCTGAGAGCGCCACTCGGGGACCGCGGCCACCCGCCCTGCGGACTCGACGCCCGCCGAGCAGCGCCCGAGGGAGCCACCAACTTGAGGAGCCGGAGCCGCGGCGACCCCCTTCCCTGTCTCCGACAAGCCCCGCCCCTCGCGCCCGCGCTCGGCAACGGGGGCCTCGCGCCGGCGGCGACTTCCGGGTCGCGAGCTGCCCGAGGACCGCCTGACTCCGCCATCCTTCAGGGAGTGGCGAGGCCGCCGCGGACGCTGCCTTCGCCTTAACCCCAGCCCCTTCATCGCCGTCTTAAAATCCTCAACGGGTAGTGGGGAGGGGCGGAGACGGGATCTCTACAGTTAGGTAAATCCTTAGGCAGACCTGGCCGCGGCCAGGACCCCGAAGCGCAGAGGCTACGTCCGGAAACAGCCGCCAGGAGGCGCCTGGGACCAGGGCTAAAGCGCGAATTGTTCGCGACCTGAGAGGCAGAGGGTTTGTTTGAAGGGTGCTTGGCGGATGGAGGTGGCCTCTTCTTTAAGCAGGTGAACGACATTAACCACCCACTTTTATAGGTCGGGAAACCTACTAGACGCCTAGAGTTTGTGTGATCATCCCGCAGAAAAGGAGCCTGGCTCCGCCCCTGACTAATTGAAGCTTTATTGAGAACTAACATAAAGACAGGGATGCTGACATTCCATCATGAGATCTGCAAAATGGTATTTTCCCAGTCCGTGGGAGTCATTTCTGTTTGTATCCGGTTACTCAATATGATGTTCTCTCGATTTTACAGATGTGAAAAGAGCTGTCACTTGCCTAAAAAAAATAAAAATGGTAACATCCAGTTTGCCCTGTTTAGACTCTCAGAGCCAGGCCCTCTACAGTACAGCTGCCTCATATTTCTTAGAATATTCGTTTTTTTTAAGGTGGCTTTCCCCAATCCAGTAACTTTACTAACCAACTCTCAACTGTTCAAATGGCACATTAGCCTACCGGAAGTTACTAATTAAGCTAACTTAAGGAAGGTGTTATGTGGAAACTTAGCTGAATATCTGCATGAATTAATTTGAGTGATTCCCTCTGAGTACAAAGGAGCACAGTGTTACAACCTTTGCTTAATGAACACATTTAGGATGTCTCTTGTCTAGTGGTGTGTGTAGCAAGAAAAGGAAGACGGGAAAGGGCCCAGTGATATTTAATGGATTGTCCAAAGTAACACTACTCGTTATGGTGCACCAAGTCTCCATAGAAAAAGTAACAAGTAGTAAAGTTGATTATGATGTAAAATAAAATATGGGGTGGAATCCAATATTTTGATTCTCAGATTCCTTTGTGACCATGTTTATCCCTGAATAGGTCCCCATAGAGCAGCGGTTCTCAACCTTCCTAATGCCGCGACCCCTTAATACAGTTCCTCATGTTGTGGTGACCCCCAACCATCAAATTATTTTCGTTGCT